TGGAGGGTTCAGATGAATGATTTCAGTGAAGGGCTATAGGAGCCAAGGCTGGGAAGGAGTGAGGAAGAAACACCCTCAGCTTCTGATAATATTTCCCATTGGCTAAACCCAACAGGAAGCGGCCAACAAGAGGTGTACTGGAGCATAGAACAGAGCATGTCGGGTGGAGAATGCATCTGCGGAGTGGAGGCAAATGGTGAAAAACCAGCACACCTGCCAAGGTCAAACAGACCCTGCCCTAAAAACATGTAGATTGAATAAACAGATTATTGAAGAGAAGGTAATAAAATTGGCAAATAAGGTCACCTTTTTACTTCACTTAGTTTAGATGAGTTTTTCTTCCTTGCAAGCAAATGATCCCTGATTGGTAAATACAAAAGGGCCGTGAAAAGAAGCTGTGTATGGGTGTGTCTCTACCCAAATAACCACTAAAATTGCTTTCCACTTCACTCTATCCAGATCTCAGATCCGGTCACTCGTATTTAGGACTAGGATACCCTTCCATGCGTGAAAGCATGCGTGTGGTACCTAGGGGTGATCGTCCGTGAATAAAATTGGTGGGTGAAGCGTGTGTGTGTGTGTATGTGTATTTCTGGATTCATTGGTGCCTTATCTTAATTCACCTTTAACGTTTTACGTGAGTGAAAAGTAGTATTGACTTTTTAATTTGATGACATAAGCAGAGATTGTTTCCAAAGTAAACCTGATGTAGCTGCTCAGCCAGGCGATCCAGATAGGTCTGTCCCTCTGTAGAGTTTTGTGGGGAAGCAGCACGTGCTTCAGTTGCTGGAGTGCTGCTGCTTAATGAGTTGTCACAAGCAGTGTCATTAGTGGCCTGCTACTCAGTGTGTGGGGTCCCTAAAAGCTGGCCTCCTGTGCCTTGCTGATATTTGAGAGGCATTGAGATGAGGCAGCTCTCCATATTCTGCCTTGGCCAGTCTGCCAGATGCCTGGGAGATAATTAGACATCTTTATATAATTCACTTCCAAGGTAACAAGACAAAACTCCAACTCTAATAGCATTTTCCATCATCCTCATGCTCCAGATCTATTAGCAGCCTGTCCACAGTGGCAGTGGAATGTACTAATATGTTCCAACAAATGGATTCAAATGTGAAGAACATGAAAAACAACTTTTCCTTTGTTTGGAGGCTATCAGCATTACCCACAAGTACTTGCTATGGATGGTTTTCTTGGGAGCTATTTGTGCTGATAGCATGTCTTTTTTGGCTAAAGAAAAAGCATAAGATAGCATCAAGAACAAATAACATACAGAGAATACATGTCCAACAATGTTCAGGGGCTGAGGAATTGCAGATGGAAGCAGGAGTTCAGCTGAGGGCCAGCAGTTACTTGATACAGGGACAAATGTTTGTTGTTCTTAAGCTCTTCAAGACCAAAGAAGCATTTGACCCAGAACCTGTAAGTGAGTAAACCATTCCTTTAGCTATTTTCTTTGGAAGGAAGTGGTTGCATCAGGGGAAAGAATAGGCTTATGAGGGGTCCATGGCCAGAGGAAAGATTGTTTGTTAACCCTCTCAAAGCACTTGAGAATTGTGTTTCAAGTCATGTAATGGTATTCTTATAAACCGTTCCCTACACAATGGTTTTCTCCATCCCATCCTACCTAAAGTGACTGAAAAATAAAGTGGATTGGAACTCTGAACTAGTCCTCCTGTCAATGGTAGGAGCCAGGTTTTCCATAAAGAGTGAAGAAGTTCATGCAGCTGCTAAGTAGGCAATTTGCTTTTGTTGATGATTGTTAGATAACAGAACAGGGAGGGTATTTATTAACTTGGTGGATGGCATGCTCATGAGAGGCTGTCAGATCTTAAAAAATAGGATCTATATTCAAAACACCCTTGCTGGACTGGAAAAGTGACCCGAAACCAAAATTGAGAAAGAACAAGTCCAGGCCAGTTTGCTGGGGGAGGAAATGTACTCTGCAGAAATCCAAGGCCAGGCAGATAGCAAAGAGGATGAGTCAGCAACATGTTCACACTGGGCTGTCCTTTGTGCTCAGATGATGCTTTCAGTCACAGCCACTAGGGCACTTATTTGAATTTCCTGCAGGGGTATTGGATTTGCAGTGAAAAATCCAAACTCTCAGCCATGCCTTTTTGGTGGCCAGTGACAAGCCTACTCGGTAGTAGGTTTGGGTTGGAGTGAGGTCAGTAAGGCCCAAGGTGCGAAGAAAGACAATTGGTCCCATGTGTCCAAACCGGTGGGATGTGGAGCAAATGTGGGCTTTGGCTCATCTAGAACTGGGATTGAATTTTAACTCTATTACCGTCTAGACTGTGATCTTAACTTTTCCAAACTTAAGTTATTTCGATGTAAAAGTCAAGATTATTGCATTTATTTTATAGGGCTGTTGTGAAGATTAAGTGAAAAGTGTCTATGAAAGAGTGTGTCATAAAGAAAATGTTGTGTTAGAAATAACATCCTCCCTTTCATTTTTTTTTTTTTTTAAAGGCAAGGTGTTTAAAGATTTTATTTTATTTTTTCCTTTTTCTCCCCAAAGCCCCTCGGTACATAGTTGTATATTCTTCGTTGTGGGTCCTTCTAGTTGTGGCATGTGGGACGCTGCCTCAGCGTGGTTTGATGAGCAGTGCCATGTCCGCGCCCAGGATTCGAACCAACGAAACACTGGGCCGCCTGCAGCGGAGCACGCGAACTTAACCATTCGGCCACGGGGCCAGCCCCTCCTCCCTTTCATTTTTATGCATGATTTCTGATGTTCTCTTCTGACTACAAAAGCTAGTGAGAACCTGGAATGCATAAATGGGAGCCCCTAAGGCTGGCTCGATCAGCTCCTTCCATGATGAGGTGGGCTCCTGACTGAGGAAGGATGTGGAGCCCCTGAGAAGGGGAGAGGAGACCCCCAAAGAGAATAAAGACCCCAGAACAAATTACAAGGGGAAGGGCTGAAAGACTCGTTGATCTTCTTCAGCCTGGGCAAAGGGTATCTACACAGAGGACGTTAACTCTTTCCAGGCTTTACAAGGGGCCTAGACCACAGCGTGAGCCACTGAGGTGAGCTATCAGGAGGATTTTGAAAATTAAGCATGAACCAAGTAATTAAGACAAGTCTTCAAATTATTTTGATCTGATATCTTGGTAAACAATGCACATTTGGCCTGGGCTGGTTTAACTGCACTCCCATCTGAAAATAAGGACAGAGACTAGCCCATCTCTTATTGTTCCTCCCAGCTCAAAGGAAATGAAAATGTAACATGTCAGGTTAATTACTTTACTAATTTTTTTTTACAGAAGACTCAGAAGGGAGGGGTCATTGTGCAACAAGGTACTTGACATGGTAGAAAGGGCTTTGGAGTCACACAGACCTGGGTGGGAATTTAATTCCTGGACTGACTAGCTAAGTGACTTCAGGTAAGTTAACTAACCTCTCTGAGCCTTGGATTCTCCATCGTAAGTTGGGGATAGTAGCATCTGTTTTTAAGTTTTGTTATAAGAGTGAGATAATATTCACAGAGCACAAGGACGACACCTAATAGGTAATCAATAAATTCTAGCTCCTTCCTCCTGTAATTATCACTATGGCTAACCACACAACATGCACCTAAAAACATCCAAGATTTAATTCTTCTTTGCAAGCATTTGGTGCAACTACTTTTCCCACTTGATGCATGGGAAAACCTGAAAGCACAGAAGTTAGTCATTGGCCAAAGTCTTACAGTAAGTCAATAACCCAATAATTTCTTATATTGTTAAGAAAATAGTGAGAACATTTTTGTGTGTTATGATGAAAACGCAATTGAGTTTCGGAAAAACATTCTTTCTTTGTCACTCTTATAATTTGTTGTTTCTCTTATTTGATAGGAAAGGAACGATTTGTATTGTAAGAAAATATAGACTTGGGGATCCAGAATGGGGTCAACAGTGTTTCTTTGTCTCTTTTTCTGGTTTTAACCAGTTTCAGGGTTTATTCATTTCAAGGAGGAGGGATGAATTTTGTGGTTCTGTGGAATTCTCACAGATAAGCAGAAGACTAGAAATCTTGGCTTAAATTGCTTCCTTGCTTATTTCTTTGCACTGAACAGCATGCCACGGTTCAGAATAAACAGAAATTATCTTGAGTGTTCTCCAAGAGAGAGTTCTGGTCCCTGGACATCTTGGAAGAAAACCAATCTAAGCAAAAGCTACAAAAGCAAAACCGTGGGATCTGCCACCAGTCCTGGGCAGGTGTGTCTCTCTTAGTCTCAGTTTCTCCACCTGTTAAATGAGGTGATAGCACCAGGTGACCTCTAAGGTCCTTTCCAGCTCAAAAGTCTCTGGCTTATGTTCTATTATTTTTTTTTTTTAAAGAATCGGCTGGTGAATTTTTACCAATAAATCCATAAGGTAAGCACTTTTAGTCACATTAGAGAAAGAATCCGAGTGCGACTTGGAACTACTTGTTAGGATAAAGAATTTGCTGCTCTGACCCTCTCATTTTTCTTTGGCATAAACCAGACCACCCGATCACAGGGATGAGGTGTGAAAATGTCTTTTAGGTCCTGCCCACTCTCTTGCCAGCCCCCAGACTACATCAGACTTTTCTGCCGTGGGTCCTGACTTTGCCACTTACACAACATGCTTAATAGCAAGTCATTTGACCTCTCTGAGTGTGAGTTTTTTCATCCATAAGACCTGAATGTAAATATCTTCTTTGCAAGGTTATTAGGAAGATTAAAAGAGATATTATATACAAAGCACTTATCATAGCATTAGGCATATTGCAAGTGGCCAAAATATCCAATCTGCTAGTGTTATTTGTATAAACTAAGATCTCAATAAACGTGAAACAAACAAATAAAAAATTATATGAAAACCACTTCTTCAGAACATTCCAATTAAATTCAGATAAAAGGTGATGAAGAGGGAACCGTGAAGACTATAGGACAGAGTAGCATTTTCTTGAAAGTATGTCTCAGGTCGGTCACAGGGTGAGAGGTAGAACGTGCGACAGCTTTCCCAAGCTTTAGGAATGAACTCACCCCTGACCAGCCGTGGGGCAAGAACTGGCCCTCAGCCCAGTATTTCCCATTGATGAAGACGAGGCCTGCAATCATGATGAACACCCACACTGCCAGGTTCAGCACGTTGAGGACGTTGTTGAAGCCCACGGAATTCTTCACCCCCAGTGCGACGATGATGGTGACGATGATGGCAATCACTAGAGCCAGAAGGTCAGGGTATGATTCTTCACCTTTCCCTACAGGGGAAAGACATGAGTTAGTATTGCCCAGAGGGAAAAAAGGGCCATGCGAACTCCCAGCCCCACCCCAGGGCATCTGCACTGAGCTCTGAGAACGCGGTCAGCTTGTCATGGAGGGAGGAGAAGGAACCGTGTGCGTGTGTGTGCATGCACGTGCATGCCTACACTGAGGTCCACATGTGTCATTTGAAAATGAGAAGGTTTTGGTATATAGGTGAAATGACCTGGTATCCTGGACCAAAAATTCGGCTACATGATATGATGATGACAACAGTGCCTCTGGAACCACAGCACAGAACATTTGAAGTCAGGACTCTCCTGGGACACTTGGGATGCATATACGGGTCTAATATTTGAAATTATTTGAAAAATACTTTATCTTCATTGGTATTCACTTTATAATCTATAAGTTTTCTATTTCATTCTAGCAATCTTTTCATTATTAGCAAATTTTAAATATATGTCTTTGAAAACTATTGGAAAAGGGTGTTCTTTCCATTTATGTGTATGTGGTTGCAGAGAAAATGACCAGTGAACATGCCCCGCCTGTTTGGTCTAGTCCGTTGGCCGGTGGACTCCTGCCCTCTACAGAGTGGACAGGGCACTGCCTCAGCAGTCAGGGTCCTGACTTTTGCCCATTACCAGCTTTGTGACCTTGGGCAAGTGCCTCATTCTCTGGACCTCATCTGAAAGTGAAGGGGTCGGACTACCTGATTTTGGAGGGCCCTTTTAGACCTAAAATTCTGTGACATCGGTACACTGAGGAGATGTAGCCTTCCTACCTTTTATCTTCTCACGGTGTCTGGGTCTTTGGCATTTTTGTCAGTTCTTCTGAGATAGGGACACTGAAGTCAAATGACTTGCATGCAGCCACAGAATCAGTCCTTGGACGTTCTGGGGCAAGACCCTAAAGCTTCCTCAACTATTGGTTAGCTTCCCAGGAATGTGAAAGGATAAAGTCAGATATCAGGATGAAAAGTGAGTGGCAAGTGATGGATGGAGCCTAAAGTCTCATGGTATTTGTTATGTGAGCTTCCGATTGGTTAGGATTCAGTCAGTTACATTACCCCTCTTTGACCTCTGATAGATTAGAATCCATTTTGTTCCTTTTAAAAATACATTTTCTTGGGGTCAGCCCCGTGGCATAGTGGTTAAGTTCAGTGCACTCCACTTTGGTGGCCCAGGTTCGTGAGTTTGGATCCTGGGTGTGGACCTACATTACTTGTCAGCCATGCTGTGGCGATCACCCACTTATAAAGTGGAGGAAGAACAGCACAGATGTTAGCTTAGGGCTAATCTTCCTCAGGAAAAAAATATATATAATAAAATAATATAATAATAATTTTATATATATATTCTCAAGCCAGCCCTCACGGCCTAGCAGTTAAAGGTTGGCACACTCTGCTTCAGCGGCCTGGGTTCAGTTCCCAGTGCCAAACCACGCCACTCGCCTGTCAGTAGCCGTGCTGTGGCAGCAGCTCACATAGAAGAACTAGAAGAATTCACAACCATACACAGCTATGTACTAAGGCTTTGGGGGGTGAAAAAGGAAGAAAAGGGAGGAAGATTGGCAATAGACGTTAGCTTAGGGCAAATCTTTCCCTGCAAAAAAAATATATATTTACAGGTATATATATTTTCTTATTTAAAAATTAATACATGTTATTTATGAAAATTTAAAAAATCTGATAAAACCACTGGAGAAGTTCTTTACAGTTCTTTTTCCTGCATTGGTTTTATTTTTATATAGTTATTCACAAGATGCATGTATAATTTGTATCGTTTGTCACACAACATTACATCAAAAAGATATTCCATGTTATTGGAACAGTCTTCCTAATCATCTTTTTAATTGCTAGCTACATAATATGCTTCCACAATTAACGTAATCATTTGCTCCACTGTAGTATATTTGGGCTGTTTCTCACTTTTTGTTATTATAAATAAGGCTATGATGAACATCTTTTCCTATAAAGTTCTTATGGAAATTAGAATGATTTCCTTAGGATAGATTCACAGGGGAAGAATTACTTTACAAAAAAAGTAAAGACATATTTAAGGCTTTTGATATATTTTGCTACATAGCATCCTGAAAGGAATTCATTTATTTGGACCAGTAAGTTTGCACGTTGGGGTGGGAGGATGTGGCAGTCTCACCCAGGCCGTTGAGTGTTCCCACGCTGTCCACCATCCAGCGGCTGATGGTGTGGTTTGCCAGTGAGTCAAACATGCTGCTCAGAGCACTGGCGCCGGCCGCGGTGCCAATCAGGTACTCCAGGATCAGGTTCCAGCCAATGAAAAATGCCACAAATTCGCCGACCGTGACATAGCTGTAGGTGTAGGCTGACCCTGTGGTCTTGGGGACACGGACTCCAAACTCTGCATAGCAGACACCTGCATGGGACAAATACACAGATGGTGGACTTCAAGATATGAGCTGACCTCTTGATGGTTAACCGTCTTGGGTAGAAATATTGGGAATCTTTGAGATCTTAGAACAAATACACAAAGTTTTATGTACGTGAATAACTTTAAAGCCAGTTCTAATGTCATTCAACCTCAGTTCTAGAACTAATTCTAATGAAATATGGGAAACTGATCTTCTTTACTTAGAAAAATTCCCATTTGTTGTATGTGTCTCTGTCGCTGTTCCTTTCCTGTCACATATCCAGGGTGAACGTGAGCCTAATTCATATTCATTACGAGCCCCACACTTGATGGCATCAGGGTTATATTATGCATAACATTCTTCTCCTTCATTTTTACATATTACAGAAGGTGCTCCTCATTTGAGAGCGATCCTTTGAGCAATCTGTGAAAATCTTGTACTATTTCTAGTGGAAGAGTTGATAAAAAATGCAAATATAAATAAATGTCTAGTTATCAACAAGGAAATTTAGCACATGCAAAAGATCACTGAATGAACACTTCTAGAGTGCCTACTAGTGCTTGGCAGGGTGCTAAGTGCTGGGAATTAACAAAAGCAAGTGAGACATGGCCCTGCTCTCAAGGGAAGATATACCAGAAAATCAGTGCCCATCATCGGCTGCGTCAGCTCAATAGTGCAGAGATGAAACGAACAAGGAGAGTGGAGAGGAGACGTGCATCAGCTGGTGTTGAGGTCTATGGAGGAACTAAATGGACAAAGAAGCTGGGACATGAGTCAAAGACAAGGCAGAGAGTGACAGTAGGAAGCATTTGGGTGGAAGGGAGGGTGCATGAGGGGACTGGGAGAAGATGAGGCTGGAGAGGCAGGCATAAGCCATGTGTTTTCCATAAAAGATCCACTTTCACTGGAATCATCTATTGAATCATAATTTTAGGAGATGGGGAACAGAAATCTGTCTTTTAATGTTTCCCACTTATATTTGAAAAATACTGGTATATTGCCTGCTTTGTTTGATAGAATTATAAATCAAGCTAGAAAGAGATGGGAATACACTAAACCTCTGGAAGTTGGGAGGGTTTCCTACATTGTGCTAGGAACTCTGGGTGTGGGGCCAGTGGGTGCTAAGTTGGAGGACAGACATAGGACAGCTAGGAGGAAACACACCAGGAAAGGAGTGTAGGGGGAACTGAAAGTAAACTTTACCTTCAGTCCCAATTTTGGACAGGGCCCACCCTAAGGTTCTCTCATCACAAATCGGGGAACAACAGTTCACTCTTTTGTGACTAAAGAGAGTAAGTTTCTTCTCCTTTAGAAGGAGTGAAATCGATACAATGAAGCAAGAACAGAGATGTCAAAAGCAATGACACAATGAATAATTAAATGTTATGCAAAATCTCTTTTCCTTTCCCTCAGTGGCATCGGCTGTCAGAACATCCATATGGAAGGAACACTGGAGCAGTTGGGCTGTGCTCTTGTCTTCACTCCACAGTGAGCCTGTCCATCTCTATATTCAGTTTACTTCTTTGTAAAGTAAAGGAATTAGATTGGATGCTCTATTAAGGGTCTTCCTACTCTAACACTCTGGGATTCTATCGTTACAGTAGTCTCCTCTTTTCTACATGGGATATGTTCCAAGACCCCCAGAGGATACCTGAAAACATGGGAAGTACTGAACTCTATATTTACTATAGCTTTTCCTAACGGCTTCATGGGCGGATGGTATATACAGCGTGGATACATTGGACAAAGGCATGATTCACATCCCGGGTAGGACGGAGCGGGAGGGTGTGAGATTTCATCAAGCTACTCAGAACAGCACGCAATTTAAAACTTATGAATTGTTTATTTCTGGAATTTTCCATATAACATTTTCAAACCAAGGTTGACCACGGTAGCTGAAATCGTGGAAAGCGAAATCGCAGGTAAGGAGGGACTACTGTATAATGAATTTTGCTGCAAAATATATCGGGCACAATTTACTTTTCTTTTATATCAATTACTGTATTGTTCTCTTTTATAGAGATGCTCTCAGCGCTAGCAAAGCTGTTTGTCCCTACATCTAATGGCCTAGGCTGCCATTTATTTTGAGTTCCTATGTCAGCCCCGCTGCCTGCCCTTTGTCAAATACTTTTCCATCTCCTTCCTGGAGATCAGACTGTCTGTTGTTTCTTCTTGTTGCTGTCACAGGGCTTACCCTGAGCAGTCAGGCCACTTCCTTTTCTAAATTGCTGCTTCCAACACCTGATGTTTAAATTGTTAGAGTGAGTCTAAAATTAAGAGGAAGTGGTCTCTGAAGGAAGGCCTGAAGACCTCTTCCGTAGGGAAAGTATAGTGTATAAGCGCTCAGTATGAGGCCCTGATGAGACTTTCTTGGACCTGGAGGACTCTTGTGTTCTCTCCTAGGAAAGCTGAGTTCGCACGTCCAGGGTAGGTTGCTCTTTTAGTGCAATATGAGGAAGGAACCAGGAGCAACTAACTTCTCCTCTTCGGTGTAGGATCCCCAGCTTTATCCAATAATTCTTATATCCTATGAGCTTCTTCTCTCCACCCTCTTTTACCCTCTCATAATATACAAGACTTATACATAGAATTTTTCCAAGCAATGCTTTGAAACAGGCAGCAATTTGCAAATTTAATTTGGAGAGCCAGTGTTGTGGAGTTTGTGCAATCAAGGGTTCTCTCCTTAATATTTGATCTGCCAAATTAAATTTTAAAATGCCCAATTCACCATCATAACCCACTTGCCAAGGGTAATTAGCATATAGCCAAGTCTTCCTCAGGTCCCGGGAAGGGCCCAGCCCCTTGCTGTGCCAAGTCAGAAGAACAGGCCCTGTGCTGTGCATGGTGCAGGAGCACATGGAGTCTTAGTCATTCATTTCCCAGGGTCCCATGTGGATCCTGATGACTGGAGTTTGGGGAGAACAGTGGGAAAATCAATTAGCTACTGACTGTGTAAGGCAATTTTTGCTCCCTCAAATCATTCTTTTAGATACATTCTCATTTTGAACACATTGTAAAGGATTTTATAATATTTTGAATCCTTCCGATTTATTTGCATTCAGGAGTCCAGGCTTTTAGTGGGCTCTAGAGAATATCCAGCCTGGCAGTGAAACTCAGCGGTGAGGAGTGAGTGATTTAGACTCTAGATATCCCGGAAAAACTGGAAAATGTTGTGAATCATTCAACTGTGTTGAAGTATCTGGTGTGTACGAAAGACAAATTCAAGGGTATCTTTCTAATTTCAGCAAGAAATAAAAGCCACGGAAAGGGAAACCTTGGTTTTTATTCCAGATTATGTACTATCTGAGTGCCAAGGACACGTTCCTTACCTCACATGGGTAAAGTGAGGTGACCAACTAGATAAGCTTTAGGATTCCTTTCAGTGCTATCATTCTTTAGTTTCACATCTAGAGTCGACTCTTAATCATCTTTGAGTCAATGGGAGAAGCCCTGTAGAAAATACTGCAAATCAGTGCTTCTCAGCAAAAGCCTTCTGGGGGAATTTTACAAATCTGTGAGTGGGGGTGTCTGTGGTTCTCATGATGATTGTGGGCACTCATGGCATTAAATGGGGAGGAACCTGGGCTGTTAGACATTCTGAAATATGTAGGACCATCCCACAGAATGAGGCATTGTCCTGTGTCTTACATGACTTCTGAAAGTCCCAATGGACATTCGTGTAAGTAAAAACCTGTTTATAATTTCTGAGCCTGGCTCCATCTCCTTTTTACATATTAACACAAAACATTTTTTAATGCGTAGGTTTATATACTTTGAGTTTTCCAGGACTACAACGACTGGATAAATTGACGGACAGTTGTAATTTGTTTTGTTTGGAATTTACCAAGAGTTAGTCATCATTTTGGAAAACCACATCCACAGTAACATCCCTCATGGTTTTTGAGCACCAAAGAGCACACTTATGTGAGTGTGCATTTGCAGCAGTTGTGCTCACAGTGGTTTCACAAATGACAGATAACATCTGACAACTTCATTACGTCTCCTACTGTACTTATGCCCCAGCGTTCACACATTGAAATAAATATTGCTTTTTTTTCTAGAAATTACTTTTCCTTCATTGTTTTCATACTAAGGGAATATTGATTTTTTAAAAAATTCTTTGTGTAGGAAGGTAACGTTATCTCTAGTTTGCATTTCAGAATAGCAAAGGAAGGACTGTGACGTATTTATTACCCACAGTTGATTTGGTGTACTAGTGTGGAGAATCACTATTCTAAATGAGAGAGAAATTTAGTCTTTACTCATTTTAGTAATGCATTAAAAAAAATTCTTGCCCCAGAGTTACCTTCCTAATCATATTTGCCTTATGCTATTATCAAAGTGATTTTGCATTCCTTGGCTCCCCGTCAAGTGATTGCAGAGGAGAGGCATATTGATTCCAAAAGTATAACCATGTAGCTGGAGAAAATCAATATCGAGTACAATGTCGAGGTCCAGATAGCCATCGATGAGTGACTGCGTGCTGCAAACCACAGGATGGAAGTTTTCCTATTAGAATTGCTCAGACACGGCCAGTCTAGGTCCCTGAGAAATACGGAGGAGTCATTTCAGCAGGACGAGAGGGAATAGGAATGATTTCTCACAGTCTGCAACTTTGATATCCTTTTCAATGATCCACCCTTTAAGTCTACTGTAAACATACCCTGTTTTTATTTTGTCATATCCCTAGTGTTTGTTTTATTTCTATAAGCAGAACTATTTTTGGTTAAATTGACAAGCTGCCAGCCTAAAAAGCAGTCAAACTTAGAACTTATGCATTGAAAAGAGTGTTGGGAGAAGATACCAGATTACATATTTGAAATATTCTCTATCAATCCTTGCTTGTCCCCAAACAATGTATGATTTGGGGTTTGGAAAAATTTGGTCCCTTTCAATGTGAATTTCTTTTCAACTCAGAGGGTCTGTGGTTCTATCATATATAGGCATAAGAGGCCAGCAGAGAGCCTGCATACAATGTTGACCTTTCCAAACCGTGCCTAAGAGA